ACTCATTTGGGGTCTTATTCGTTTATTTTTGTAAAGCTTAACAAGAGACATATTCAAAATCTAAAGCTCAAAGAATTTAAATCACTTGCCCAGAGCCTCAGAGTTTTAATAACAGAGCTAGGATTTAAACTAAGGTCTAACTCACAAAGTCAATAAATATTAGTTCTCCTGCCCTAGGGGAAGAAAAGCCATGGCAATTTGTACCATCAAAAGGGATCAAAGGTAGATTTTATGGGCAAACGTTGAAGAACTGAATTGCTTAGCTTAAAATGAAGTTTTAATTACCATTTTTTAAATGTGGAGATTCTCTGAGGAATTTGTTGACACAATTATTATCTGTGTCCATAAGAAAACACTTAAAAATTAAAAGTTGTGTGTATTTTGTAGACTATAAGGAAGAATTTTTCTAGGTCAGTCTCATTAATAGGGCATATTATTTGCAGGGTACTTTTCTAGGTGCAATGGATCTCAAATGAATAAACTAAAATCTCATGGCCCAGTGAGAATAGGCTAGAGTAGACAAGATGCTCAATACATGTTGTATTTCTCAATAATTAGATTATAAGATGGCCTGTAAGGAAGATGATCACAGCCTTAACCAGTTTTGCTCAGTGGATAGAGCATCGGCCTGTGGACTCAAGGGTCCCAGGTTCGATTCCAGTCAAGGGCATGTACCTTGGTTGCGGGCACATCCCCAGTAGGGAGTGTGCAAGAGGCAGCTGATCAATGTTTCTCTCTCATCGATGTTTCTAACTCTCTATCCCTCTCCCTTCCTCTCTGTAAAAAATCAATAAAATATATTTTTTTTAAAAAAGGAAGATGATCACATAGACCTGGAATTCTTTAAATGAACAAGGAAAATAGCCTTTAAAGGTTGCTACAAGACACACACACACACGCACACACACACGTGCACGCGCGCACACACACCATCAAAACTAGACAGCTTAAACTGGTGATTCCTAACCCTTTACTCCAACAATCTTTCATTTTGCAATGTTCCTTCCTCAAGAAGCTATATGCCTGTGGCTATTCATTCAACCAATCTTTACTACATGACCACTCTGCTAGAACTCTCCAAATTCATAAAGTATATTCAGGCTGCTTCTTTCAATCAGGTAAATATCAAAACTAGAGATTTCCAACAATGATTTTGGAGTAACTCAGGCTGACTGCATTTATATAAGTTATCTCAAAAGATTTCATAAAATCCAATTTTATTTACACGGTTATATGAACAAATGCAAATATACCCATGCACATGTTCAGCCTCACATATATCAGAAGTGATCTATATGATTTATCCTAGAGATTTTTACCATTTAGGAGATGCAACACCTCATGATTATTTGTTCTGTAATGTCTCTCTCTCTTAAAAATCACTCAGCTTTGACTTATACCAGAAGAAAGGTCAGGGTCCCTTTTATACCTGGAATTCATTTGAACCTACCCATCTTCAAAGACAGGAAAATCTAATGCTAACATCTGTCATTCCCATTGCCCCCTACTGTGTATTTGAGTTTGATAAAATTCTTATAAACTAAGGTCATGAAATAAAAACAATATAATGTATGCACTTGAACTTTCTACAGTACTAATTATAATAGGAAGAATACTAACAGCCAACTCTTAATGAGTGCTTACCATGTGCAAGATAAGTCTTCTGCATGTATGTAATCCTTATAACACATGTGTATCAGGCAAATAAACTATCTTTAAAAAAAGAAATTAAAGATAGCTTTGGTTTATGCTGTATCTTTGAGGTCCTTACCTGTATCACAAGTACATCGCTGAAGAAATGACTGAAAGGAAGCTGGGGCCACCCGGGCCTCGGCTTTCCTACCAGGTCACACAGACGTACCGCTTGTTATTTTTGGCATTTTCCTACGGTTCAAAAAAAAGTGGTGACAATTTTCTGCATCTATAACATTTTGGATGAGCCATTTCCATCCTATTTTGTTTTCTCACATATGGTGTTCTAGCTCAAATAGCATTAGTATTTTTAACTTGCCCAGTATCAGTAAACTACTTTGAGTTACTCTTGGCTGACAAGTATCCAAATTACCTAACACAAATGAGAAAACTGCATGTATTATGTAGGCTAGTGTGTTCACTGCCTTTCAGCTATAAATTTTCCAATAGAATCAATATATTTTACAGATGCCCTGACCGGTTTGGCTCAATGGATAGAGCGTCGGCCTGTGGACTCAAGGGTCCCAGGTTCGATTCCGGTCAAGGGCATATACTGTGGTTGTGGGCACATCCCCAGTAGGGGGTGTGCAGGAGGCGGCTGATCGATGTTTCTCTCTCATCAATGTTTCTAACTCTCTATCCCTCTCCCTTCCTCTCTGTAAAAAATTAATAAAATATATTTTAAAAGTATATATATATTTTACAGATGGAAGAGATCACAAAGATGATGTAATCTGGCTACTTCTTTTTACCAGTGAGACTCTCTAGCAGAGAAGTTGAAGTGTCTCTCCTAGGTCAGATCAGTAGTTAGTAGTAGGAAAAAAGTAATAGCAGTCCAGCGCTTTTTCTACATGAAAATATAAGTATTATTTTAAAATCTACATTATTTGGCAGAGGACATATCAATCATAAACAACTGGCTAGTTTTTATAATACTGTATTATCATCACTATTGAAATTTAATACTTGTGACAATTGGTTATATAATGCAGTTATGCATCATTGCTGCTCTCAGTTATATCCTGTATGTCTGTTTTGGACCCATATCTACATTGTGACTGTGGTAGGCACTCATTTTTAATGTTCCCTATATCCTTCAATAAATATACACACATATGAACCACATAACGGTTAGAGAGAGATTGACAAAACTATACTTACAGTTTAGACTAATACTCCAAGACTCAAAATGAAACAGAACAGCTGTCATTCTGTATGGCTGCAGGTGAGTTTGTTTTGAGAGGGAGAAAGTTGAGAAAAGTCCTCATTTCTTCTTATCAAGCAGTGGGGATTGTCCCTGATGCTGAGTCGTTTTAGGAGCTTGAGGAGATTGGTAAAGGCTGGAATAGAAATTAGAGGGAATGATGAGATCATTGACTAAGCCTTAAGACATGTGGTAAAATATGCCAATCAAATTGCTCAATAAAAATAGTAGCTAATAATGACCAAGGAGTGACGAGGTGTCTGGCACTCCTTTCAATACTCTGACGGTAGTAAATCATCGACACCTCACAACAACCCCAAGCACTGACCCCATTGTGTGGGTGAGGAAATTGAGGCGCACAGAAGTTCGATCATCTGCCCAAGAAAACCAGCTCCTGGTGGTGGAGCCAGGGCATATGCCCCTATTCACAGTACAGTGATCAGGATAAAACCAGGTAAACAGAGTTGGCCCTCCCTATCCTCAGGTTTCTAGCCCCAGAATTCAACCAATTGCAAATGAAAAATATTACATTTTTGCTGATGTGCACTGTGTATTTAGGCCATGATGTTGGCATCTGTACTGAACATGTACAGACTTTTTTCCTTGTCATTATTCCCTAAACAATACAGTATAACTATTTACATAGCATTTACATTGTATTAGGTATTATAAATAATCTAGAGGTGATTTAAAGTATATAGGAGGATATGTGGGGTTATTTGCAAATATAATGCCATTTTATATAAGGAACTTACTTGAATATCCTCAGACTTGGGTGTGGGGGGTGGGGTGAGGGAAGTCCTGGAACCAATTCCCCAGGGGAATTGAGGATGACTGTATGCCGTGTTTAAAACAGTCTTCATTTTTATTTACGCACCCACCCCGTAATCCCCCAAACACACACATACTAGTACGTAACCACACATTCCCACACACTCAAGTCTTACTTCCATTCATATACTCTTCTTCCTCATAGAACTTAAGTTCACATATGTACAAGGAGTCCTAGGGCCAACCTCCACTCTCCCACACTTCTTCAAGGTAAACGTAAAGACAAACTAATACTGACTCTGGGTTACAAAACACACGCGCACACATAGCCCAACACATAGCAGAATTCAACTCAGTAAGGATTTTTCTTCTCCCATTATCCAGGGAAATGCATGTTACCACGACAGATGCCAAAGACATTTGGCTCTGGCAGTGGAAACTGGGAGGCAATGGTGAAATGAGGTAAGAAATTCCAGGGCCAGAAGGTGGACGCAGGTCATCAGCTTGCTTTTCCCTGGAGCTTGCTCGCTTGGATAAGCGCTACAGGAACAGGGCCCCACCCGCCGCGCGAGCCTGCAGTCCCCTGGCCGGAGCTGAGCCGGCTGGGGCCGAAGCAGATGCACGCACCGCGGGGAGTCTCATTGGCAAGACCTGAGTGCTGCCTTGCTCTGTTTGAATGCTTGCCGCAGGGCCCGGGAAAGGGGTTTTGTCAGAAATGGTGAACCCTGAGAGCCAAGCTTTCTCTGCAAAGACTAGGCAGCCCAGGAGCAGCGAATCATGACTTGCACCGTGTTTAATGGCTCTCGGGAAAACAAGTTTCTCTCCCGCCTGCCTGCACTTTGCCGCCCGCTCCCGCAGCTCCGGGGGGAGGTCCAGACAGACTCTGGCTGCGGGACCCGGACACTGGCAGCGCCGCCCCAGGGCCAACGGGAGACTCCAAACGGCCCCTCACTGATCCCAAGGGTGGGGTGGGCCCTGATAAATACTCTTCCTGGTCAGAATGCGGGAAGGCCAAGTTCAAACGCAGGATGTCCAGTCTGGGGTAGGTCCGGGAAGGAAGCCGAGAGATGGGGCCAGCCTCCCCCGCCCGCCGCCGGCGCAGTGTAGACTCGCCAGCTACCCTTGGAGAGGGAGCTGGAGCCGGGTTACTGCGCATGCGCTCCGGGTTCCACCTCCACCCCTGCTGCGTTCCCAGGCCGCGCTCCCAAAGGCCTCCGTCGCTTAGCAACGCGTGAGTCACAATCGCAGCTCCAAATGCCCTTTTCCTGGCAGAGCTTAGTCCCTGATGGACCCCTGAGGCTCCTCGCTGCCTCGTGTCAGGTCTTAGGAGCCCATGGAGGCAAAGGAGGATAAGCAGCAGTAAGTGCTGGGGTTTGATTTTCTATTTCTCCTTCCAAAAAACATTTTCCTCCTTCGGGGGACCGTTAATTGAGTCATCCCCAATGTGGGAGGGCTTTTCCTCTTTCAGTCCCCCATCCCTGTCTCATTTCTAGTAGTTGAGCACTTACAGTACTATTTTTGAAAACACACTGTTTACTGGGCATCTACTGTGTGTCAGGTTCTTTACAGGCATTGCCTGGCCTAAAATTCTTGAAGTCATCTTGAATTATCCACTCTTTCTCACACACCATATCTAATATGCTAGCAAATTCTGTAGGATGAATATATATAAAATCATAATGTAATTTTATGATTTTTTATTATTTTCAGTTTTTATTTTTATTTATTTTTATTTTTATTTTTATTTTTTTTAAACATATTTTATTGATTTTTTACAGAGAGGAAGGGAGAGGGATAGAGAGTTAGAAACATCGATGAGAGAGAAACATCGATCAGCTGCCTCCAGCACGCCCCCTACTGGGGATGTGCCCGCAACCCAGGTACATGCCCTTGACCGGAATCGAACCTGGGACCTTTCAGTCCGCAAGCCGACGCTCTATCCACTGAGCCAAACCAGTTTCGGCTTATTTTTATTTTTTAAAATCTTTATTGTTGAAAGTATTACATAGGTCCTCCTTTCCCCCCATTATGTAGACTTTATCTTTAAAATATATCCAGAATCCATAATTAATGCCTTACACTATCACCCCATCTGGTCTAGGTACCAGCGTCTCTTACGTGGATAGTACAATGGCCTTTGCTTCGCTCCTTGTCCCTTTCCAGCCTTGTCAACACAGCACTGGAGTGGGCTTTTTACAAAGCAAATTAGATCACTCTTCTCCACTGGCCGTTGCAAAGGAAAAGCTAAGGCTCCAACAATGGCTTATGGGGCCTACACATCGTGCCTCTTTTCCTTTACTTGGCCTTATCTACTACTTGCCCTCTGACTCAACTCTGCCCCAGCACACAGGCCTCCTTGCTATCATCAGCAATGGTTCTCAGAGTGTGGTCCCCAGGCCAGCATCACCTGGGAACGTATTAGAAATGCAATTGTTGCAGGCTTCCCACTACAGGCATACCGACTCAGCAACTCTAAGAGCAGGGCACAATAATCTGGGTTTGAACAAGGCCTCCAGGTGATTCTGACGGATCCTAAATTTTGAGAACGATTGCATGGCTCGTTATGATGTGGAGCCAGTACTATCTGCTTCTAAAGCCTGTATTTTTGGTCCTCAAACTCTAACGTATATAAGAATCACCTAGAAAACTGGTTAAAACTGGTTCCTGGGAACCTGCCCCAGAGATTGTGTTTTAGCAGTTTGGGATAGGACCTATTCTAACAAGCTGACAATTGATGCCAATGTTGCTACTCCAGGGCCCACTCCTTGAGCACCACTGTGAAGACAGCTGTACTTCTGCGGCACAGCCTTGGCAGCTAAGGTTCATTCTGCTGGGATTCTCTTCCTCTTTCCTGTCCTTTTTTTTTTTTTTTTTAATTAAATCTTTATTGTTCAGATTATTACATTTGTTCCTCTTTTTCCCCCCCATAATTCCCCTCCTCCCAGTTCCCGCCCCACCCTCTGCCCTCACTCCCCACCCACTGTCCTCATCCATAGGTGCACGATTTTTGTCCAGTCTCTTCCCACATCTCCCACACCCCTTTCCCCCCCAAGAATAGTCCATTCCCTTTCTATGTCCCTGATTCTATTATAATCACCAGTTCATTCTGTTCATCAGATTATTTATTCACTTGATTCTTAGATTCACTTGTTGATAGATGCATATTTGTTGTTCATAATTTGTATCTTTACCTTTTTCTTCTTCTTCCTCTTCTTAAAGGATACCTTTCAGCATTTCATATAATCCTGGTTTGGTGGTGATGAACTCCTTTAGCTTTTCCTTATCTGTGAAGCTCTTTATCTGACCTTCAATTCTGAATGATAGCTTTGCTGGATAAAGTAATCTTGGTTGTAGGTTCTTGGTATTCATCACTTTGAATATTTCTTGCCACTCCCTTCTGGCCTGCAAAGTTTCTGTTGAGAAATCAGCTGACAGTCGTATGGGTACTCCCTTGTAGGTAACTGAGTTTCTTTCTCTTGCTGCTTTTAAGATTCTCTCTTTGTCTTTTGCTCTTGGCATTTTAATTATGATGTGTCTTGGTGTGGTCCTCTTTGGATTCCTTTTGTTTGGGGTTCTCTGCGCTTCCTGGACTTGTAAGTCTATTTCTTTCACCAGGTGGGGGAAGTTTTCTGTCATTATTTCTTCAAATAGGTTTTTAATATCTTGGTCTCTCTCATCTTCTGGCACCCCTATAATTCTGATGTTGGTACGCTTGAAGCTGTCCCAGAGGCTCCTTACACTATCTTTGTATTTTCGGATTCTTTTTTCATTTTGCTTTTCCAGTTGGGTGTTTTTTGCTTCTTCGCATATCAAATCTTTGACTTGATTCTTGCGCTCCTCTGGTCTGCTGTTGGGAGTCTGTATAGTATTCTTTATTTCAGTCGGTGTATGCTTAATTTCTAGTTGGTTCTTTATCACAGCATCGAGGGTCTCATTAGATTTCTCGAGGATCTCATTAAGTTTATCGGCGGCTTCTAGACAGTTCTTGAGAGACCTTAAAAGTGTGGTTCTGAACTCTATATCTTCCATTGACAATTTTGTCCTGTTTCTTTGTCTCCGCATTTTGTTATGCTTTCTTGGTGCACCCCCTAGTGGTCTTTGTGCGCAGTCTTGTAGTTAAGCCTTGATTGTTGTAGCTAATACTAGGGGGGATTTGACCTCCAGGCCAAGTGGCTGTGAGAATCAGCTGTGTCTGCAGTGAGAGAACTTCTGTCCTCTAGGGAGGTGCTAATCTGGCGTTTGCCTGAGGCTATCCGGCAAATGCCTGTGTGCAGGGCATGGGCGGGGCGGGTGGGCCGCACGGGATCACCAGGGTGGGCCGGAGAGAGCAGTTATGGCAGCTCTCAGTCCTGTCCCCAGGGGCTCTGCCTCTCTGAGTCCCAGCAACCGCTGCAAACCTCGGAGAGAAAGCTGCACTCGCTCCGACCGAAGCCAGACAGTCCCGCTTCTCCCATTTGAGTCAGGGTCCCTAAAGACTCGCCCGGATCTGGAGCTCAGAGTCTGCGACTCCCTCCCGATTGAAAACCCCCACCGTGCCCTCCGCCACCAGCCCGCTCTGCATGCACTCCGCACCTCAGAATTTGACTTCAGCACTGCGCCTCCTCTGAGTGTCAGTATGCGTTTCTCTTTCCTCCTAGTTGTAGGACTTCCACTCAGCCAGCGTTCCTGTGGTTCTGGGTGATGTCCATTCTGTCTTTTAGTTTCACTTTTGAAGTGGTTGTTCGAGGCAGCAAACTCCTGCGTTAACCTATGCCGCCATCTTGGTTCTCCCTCTTTCCTTTTTCATTTGCCACCTTCATAATGCAGCCTCCACACTATCTAAAAATGCAACTTACCTCCCATATGCATGCACTCCCTTTTCCCTATTCCCTTCTTTAGTATTGTCCTTAGTACTTAACACCATCTGATACAGGCATACTTTTTTTCACGGTGCTTCGCTTTATTGCGCTCCACAGAGGTTGTATTTCTTACAAATTGAAGGCAAGACCCTCCACCAGCAAAAAGATTACACCTCGCTTTATTGCGATACTTCCTTTATTGTGGTGGTCAGGAACCAAGCTGGCACTATCTCCGAGGTATGCCTGTATGTGTTCTACTTATTATTTTATTTTTCATCTGCCTTCTCCACTGGAATGTAAGCTCTGTGAAGGCAGGGATTTTTGCTTGATCACTCATGCATCTTCAGTGCCTCACAACAGCACCAAAGAGGCATAACTCAATAAAATATTTGTTGAAGGAATGAATTATTCTGATGTTTAGTTACTCACACCACGAGTACTTAATTGGGTGGATGCTTAAGTATGCAAGCAAACAGCCACAGTCCTTTCCTCCAAGGACCTGGTTCCAGTACAAGCATTTTACTGGGTTATAGCTATGAGAAGCAGATGGAAAAAACTAATGTCAGAAGTCTACAATGACGAATCAATCACAACCTTTAAATGAATGTTTCTATCTATGGAAAGGTAATAGGAAAGGCCTTAGAAGTTATTTACACTTTACCAGGAATCAGCTTTTCCAAATCCTTTACCGAGAGCACTTTTTGTTGGGATGCAGGGAACTAGGATCCAAGGGTGCTGAATGGTGTTTGTGTGTATTAGAGTAAGGATTGGGAGCGTACCGCTAACACAAAGCCAGAGCAAAACAATTCCAGGAGATTCACTAGCGGTAGTAAATCTTTTAATGGCTCATTAATATATAATGGTCCGGATGGTGGGGACCTAATGATAAATGAAACACAATCTTTGCCTTCATGGAACTTATTGATTAGTAAAAGGTATTTTAGTGTGTACCAAAATCATGTAAACAACAAGTGGGTACATAAATAATTAATTGTGGTGTTAGGAAAGACATGAACGAAATACTAAAATGGAGACTACATGGAGTGAGGAAGGAGAAACCTTAGGAAACGCTTCTGCGATGACTTCCAGGCTGAGACGTAAATGTTAGTGAGGCAGGTGTGCAGGGAGGCAGGCGTTGGGAATGAGCCACTCCAGGCAGAGGGAAGGCAGGATGTGCGAATACCCAAGGGGAATGAGACTGGTGCTGAAGGAAGGGGGGCCTGGAGAAGTGAGGGGAGAGAGGCTTGAGTGCAACTGAAGACTTTAGCTGGACAGGGTCTCCCAGGACCGCAGAGCCACGGTATGAAGGCAGTATTTATTGTAAATGCAATGAAAAGATATTGGAGGGTTTGACTGGAAAAGGACTGGATAAAGGAGATGGACTTGGCTTTGGTTTGAAGTAAGGTAGGGATTATATTTTAAAAGCTTCTATGTAAAAGTATTCTAATTCGCATGTTCCATTCTTACCTTTACTTTTCAAGTACATGGCATTTAAAATACTCCCTTTTAGGATGTCTATTACAACTTATTTAAAAGAAGAAAAATCTATAAACTATTTCCTTCTAGACATTTCTTTAACATTTTAAAGAACTCAGTAGCTTACATTTTTTTAAAAAAAATACCAGTGTAGTTATTAGAAGCAAAAAGTGATAAGAAATTGAATTGCTTTGATGCCTGCACAGTGGTCTTTTCTTGATTAATTCTTTTGGTCATTTGGTAGTTTTTATAAGTTTTCCAGGTGAGCTTTTAAAATTAAATAGTCTTCCTCATCCAGATGGATGAATTTACTAGGTAACTAACTTTTAAAGATGAGTTAAGATTAATAACTAACAGCCACATGACAAAATACTGCCAACATGCTTTGTAAGTGTGATCAAATCACTACTCTGCTACTCCCAGCGAGAGTCCATACACTGCACTGGTATATTGGAATAAATAATCATTATTCACACAAATCCCTTTATCTCATATAATTTAGAGTGAGAAGATGCCCTCTCAAATTTTAATAGCCCGAGCCCCTTATTAACTATAATAAAGGCTAAATAGTCTTGACTGACACTTGAAATATATTTAACTCTTATTTTATGTAATTATAACTCAGTACTGAAATGCTCATTGAGAGAAATGATTTACTATTGTATTCTGTTTTTCAGACAGCATAAAATAGAAGCTGCTGGCATAGTGTATAAAACTGAAAAAGAAGAACTCAAACATGAAAAAGAGCCTGGAAAGAGCACACCACATTCAAAACCATGTGTCAGGAGACACCGTGTATATTATGCTAAATTCATTAACACAAATGCAAGAACATTCAATGAACCAGTTCCCTACATAGATCCTAAAATAGGGACAGAAAACCAGGTCGGACACATGTTCATTATATACAACTAAGATTTAGATTCAGAAGCTGTTTTGCAGGATAATTTAGTCACAGACTACTTAAAGGATATAACATATGTCAGACTAATAGTTTTTATAATCCAACTAGAGGCCTGGTGCACAAAATTTGTGCATGGGTAGGGTCCCTAGGCTTAGCCAGCGATCAGGGCCCATTGGGGCCTTCCGGCTGCTGGGCGGGGCCTTCCTTCCCCAGCTGCCAGCTGCCAGCCGGGGCCTTCCTTCATTCCGTGCCACCCCCTGGTGGTCAGTGCATGTCATAGTGAGCGATCAAGCTCCCGGTCAAACTCCCGAGGGGACACTTTGCATATTAACCTTTTATATATACATATATAATAGTTTAAAGCAATAGCCTGGAACTACTCTCATATAACTTTTGCATATAAACCATATACAAACACACATATTTCATATACATTACATACATTTCATTATATATATTCCATATTAATTCTAGAAAAATGATTTAGATTCCTTCCATATATATATATATATATATTTATATATATACACACACACACACACACATATATACATATAAATATACATACATACATATATATATATACATATATATATGTATGTATGTATATGTATGTATATATAGCCACACAGTAGTGCTTGGAGGTTACTGAAGAAATATCTTCCATAGTATTTGTAACATATTCTAATATAAAAACTTCCCATGATACCTGAGATTCAGATGCTGTCTATAAAATAATAGTTACCATTTATTGAAAGTGTATGAAGTGTTAGGAATAAGCTAAGTGTATCATATGTTATATCCCTGAATCTGCACAAAAATTCCTAGGATGTATTATTGGAAATATTTTACAGATGATAACATACTCCAAAAAGTAAATTAACATGTCCGAGATTACAAAGTTAGCAAATGTCATAGTCACATCTCTCTGGTCCAGGACTATAGCTTTAGCCAAACCACACTCTTATTCACACTATTATAGTAAATATATTCCATTATCATCTTTTATTAAATTTGTTAGTTGTTTTTTTTTGAGGTATAATTTATCAGTCTCCCACTGCTACTGTTACAAATAACCACAAACTTAAACACTAGTTTAAAGCAACACTAATTTATTCCCTTACACTTCTGGAGTTTAGAAGTCTCAAATCAGTCTCATTGGCTATAGGTAGGGCTGGTTCCTTCTAGAGGCTCTGAGGGGAGAATCTGTTTCCAGTTTCTAGAAGCTGCCTGCATTCCTTGGCTTATGGCCCCTTCCTGGTTAAAACCAGCAGCAAAGCATCTTTATCTCTCTCTCTCTCTCTCTCTCTCTCTCTCTCTCTCTCTCTCTCTCTCTCTCTCTCTCTCTCTCTGCCTCTCCTGCCTGACAGCTTCTAATGACCTTAGAAGCTTACATTACATTAAGTAATTTAATTACTTAACATATGTCATTATGTTACACATATTACATTAAGTGATTACATTAGACCCACCTAGATAATCTGAGATAATCTCCCGCCTCAAAATCCTTAACTCAATCACAGCCCCAAAGTTCCCTTTGCTTTGTAAATTTGGGTATAGTTGTGAGTTAGGTGTAGTTGTGATTTAACTTAACATTTGAATAGAAGTTTGTTTTAGAGGATTCTCTTTACAATGATAACACGAACTGTTTCTATAAAACTGCACACCATGACAAGTATGTGTGGATGTGAGGCGGAAATTTCTGAGGTCAGATATGCTTTAATATCATGTAGTAAACCCTTACATGGGCAGTTTTAAGACTATTTTATTAAAAATTATTTGGGATTTAAAAGAAATATACAGACGAGGCCTACACTGGGGAAATAAGCCTGGTACCGAGATCCAAGTTAGTGATGTTCTCAGATATTTTACAAAAGTCAATGAATGACTCTCCTGAGCTCTAGTTTTGGCTGAAGGTAAACCAGACTATTAACTGAACCCATCCTTACCCTGGAGATGCTAAGGAAAAGATGCTGGTTTGAGAATAGAAATATGAAACATAAAAATTTCAAAATTAAATCCAACTGATTTTCTCTTACTCCTAATTCATATGTCTCTTGGAAAAAAAATAATATGAACAAAAGTGTTAGGAGCTGCTGTCAGCAAGTGACAGAGCAGCAGTAGAATCTTTGCTTTACTAGTGCCTAAAAGCTAACCCTTTCAGAAACGGTGAAAGTAAGTCTGAAATGAAGTAAGAGGATAGGTAAGAGAGGTCGACAGTGGACTTGAATGAGGAGTTACAGAGACTGGAGGTGCGTCCCAGAGTTAAAAGCGTGTCTGACTCCAGTGTGGAGTGGAGGGAATGTTTCTATTTAAAAAACAAACAACAACAATAAAAACCCTTAAATGTCCTCATTTCCAAGTATCCGAGGAGTCATACAGTGCTCATTTCACATACTTGTAATTTTTATTCTATTATTTTAGATGACAGATTTCTTTATAAAGTTAGCTTGTTTAAAAAAACAAACATGCTGGTTTATGGTAATGCTGGCTTTCAGAGGAAAGACAATAAAGTTGCCTAAATATTTAAACTGACAGATTTGTTGTTTTGTGTATTTTGCTACGATAATATCTTTAGAACACCAGATTGGATGACTGTATTTAATTACAAGACTTTTAAATGAAATAATTAGTGTCATAGTTCTGGCTGGGGACATAAAATTGGTGCTCGCGGGAGTAAAAAGGTGCTATAGCTCAGTCACTCCCCATGAAAACTAGTGTGGTTGTCTGGTAGTTTTAAATATTGGCATTTTAACTGTTTTCCGAAATGGGTTTTATTTTCCCCAAAGTGTACTTTTCAGAGCACGAGGCCTTCCTTATGAGCTCAATAAAGTTCCGAAGTCCAATGTTTTTTAAAAAACTGTATTTTTATCGACGTTTTCTCAGAGCTTCACAATTTACATTAGCATATAAAGGTCCTGAGAAATCCTGTGATGAGCTTGTTTAACTTTGCTTATCTCACCCTTTTCCCAGTATTTAGCTATGGAAACCTCTTTCATGTAGCACCTCGTTATATGCCACACAACTGGTGTTCCACAGACCACCATTTAGGAATAACTCGTTGGGACATAACAAATTGCTTACAAAGAGGTATTTTTCAGCACTCCCGGTATCCAGAGCACACTAGAGATGTAGTAATCCCTTACATGAATGTAACTCTAATGTTTGTTTAATGCCACTAAGCTGCCTTAGTAAAATGTGATGGTCTGTGAGTAAGGTGTTAGTAAAAGCCCGCATTTCCCGGGGTCCTTCACGTATATGGTCCAAACTCACCCCCACCAGCAGCTGTCTTGGCCAGGCCGCTGTGGCTGCTGGTGTAGAACTCGGCGTACCACCTCCTGCTTCTTTGAACTGGTTTTCCCAGGATGTCTCATTTGCTTTTACTACTTATATCCCCTGAGGATTCTCCTTTAACTTCCCGAAGAATGGAAAATAAGCAGTGTTTACTAATACATTTCTAAAGGCTTAGGGAGAACACAGATATAACATAAAGACGTCTGCACAGTGGTTTCCAAATGTGGCTCAGGGGTCCATGGCACCCCAGCCGTCAGGCCTTCCAGGGGCCAGGGATTAAAGGGAACCTCGGTTAAAGGGAACCTCATCATCAGGAATCTCCAGGCATCTCCCTACCATGGGTCCCAGGCACTGTCATCCTGGGGCAGGAAAGGAGACAGGCTTGGAAGGGAGGACTTCCTTCTCTCTTTGAGTCCAAAGTTATGAACTGGGAACAGCCATCTTTTTTTAGGCAAAACCCCTTCCACCATCTGCCAGATGTGGCCTGATCTCCAAAGCCTACACAAAACTATCATACTAGAGGACTTTACCCAGACTGACAAAGTTCATCATCAATCACTCTATCAGCTCTCAAAATTCAACGTAAGCGATGGTAGACAGGGCAGTAAATTCTTCGTCTTTCCCTTTAGCACAAGGTGAAGAATAAAACAAACCTCCACCTATACCTTTAATCATAATTTCTTATCATCAAATGCTTGGATCAAAAAGGCAAGCCCATGTGCATGGGCCCAAACACCCTCTCACTATTCCAGGAACAAGCCAGACTTTTAAGGGATGGGGCAGAATCTCCAGAAACAGAAACGATATAAAAATATTTTGTTGAACTGTGGGATTTCATCCCGCTGAAGTGAAAATTCATCCAATTAACTAACCAGGACACTTTCTCCAACTTTGGGATCTTAAAGTCAATCACACTTGAAGAAAAACTATTCATTATTTCCTTTGTGAAACTAAAGAGACTATTTTGGTAAAATTCTAAATTCAAAAGACTTCTTGAAAGGTGAACCAGTATTTCTGCTTTAAATATAGTTTTTGCTCTAGTTTGGGAGAAAAAGAATTGAAGCCTGCCAGGTGTTTCCTAGTGGTTCACTTATCCCAGAGTTAGTCCCCCAGTTCCTGGGTGTTAGCAAAATCTCTGGTCAATAAAAGAAGATGCACTCTTATCATAGGAGACCTTCCTCATGGTGCTCACTTGGCACCCTTTTATTTTTATTTTTGAAATAATTTAAGTGCGTTTGTGCTCCTCTGGCTTTGCATTCCCCAGCTGATTTGATGCAGCAACAGGGCAGGGAAATCAGTGTGTGCACAGGTGGGCGGGGGTTTGCACTGTGGCAGCTCTGCTGCCTGTGGGTGGTAGACCCTGGCGAGGTTACCTGATCTGCCAGCAGTTTTCTCATCTGTAAAGTGGGTGTACCTACTCACAGCACTGTGGTGAGAGCAAGTGAGAGAAGGCCTGCACGTCCCAGACCTCTGGGCATAATAAGCACCATCATAATCGTGGAGCTGCAAGAACGAGGCATGCTGACAACAGTCGGGTGTGACTATTTTCAGTAATCTGCTCTAGAATTCCTACGTCAAATAGTTTTATGTTTTGCAATTCACCTTTTAACCCGTTCTGAAAAATGAGGCAGCTGGTTTCTCCTATTCTCCCTAAGTCCCTACTTTCTTATATTTCTTTGATCTCTGAAAACTTACTGGTTACCTCTGGTTACAATTTGTCATTGTCCTTAAGCAGTGGTTCTCAACCTTGGCTGCACATTAGAACTACCTGCGAATCTTTTTAAAATCCTGATTTCTTGGCCTCATCCTCCAGAAATTCTGTTTGTTATGGGGTGAGGCCACAACATTAGTAACAAAGAAACAGAATTTAGGACCTAAAGGCTCAATTCGAGTTGCAAAGTGAGGTCTAACTCTCTCTTCAACGATGCCTGTTCATCCCATCCTCTTCAGTTTGGAGATAATCTCCCTTCACAAAGAACCTGATGTTGAGTAGGCCCGACTTAATGCTCTAAAGGGTGTACTCTTCTCCAAACTTTTAGCCTTTTCTTGATTTCTTGCTGCAATAGAATCCCCCCCACCCCCCCCCCCCCGAGAAAACCCTTTTGCTGCCGTGGGCATATTCATGAATTTCTCCTATCTAAGCGTCTTGACAATTTTCTGACAAGTTGACTGCATTCGATTATTTCTTTCGAGTTTGAGCGTGTGCTCCTCTTCTATACTTGCCTGTCTTTTTAGAAACTAAACTCATTTCAGAGCTGACTCCCATGCGGCCACGTGGCGTTCTTTAGATGCCTCTTGCTGCTTATATCAACGTAGCTTTAATTGCATTGTCAGAGTTTTACTTAGGAAGTCTTTGATTATGGAACCATAGCTGATTTTTTAAAAAGCTGATCTCCTCTCTTAAAGCTAAGGTGGGTGTTTGATGATACCTAAGGTTTCATTGCCTAATGGTAACCAAGAGCTCCTAGTGTCACAGTGGCCTTCTCTCAAGGTTCTCTCACTTGTACCTGATCAATCAGTTTCTAAAAACACACACAAACGTTTTAGTCAGAATTAAGTCAAGTAACTGTGAGGGAATTCCCCCCCGGCTTTCTCAGCTTCTAAGAGACCAAACTGTCTTACATGCGAATGAAGAGCTTATCACTTCTCCCTTTCCTGTGTATTAGGTCAGGGTTTCTCATGAAAAATTCAGTAACATCAGAGATACTTCCACTTAGAACAAAGTTTTTCAAGTGAAACCATTAGTTATAAGTCAATGTGGGTTGCAACGGGCATTGTGAAATAAAACAGAAAAGCAGTGAAGTAGAAGAGAAAAGTAGCCAACTGCCCCGCGTGTGGTAAGATAATTGTTTTGTGAGACTAAAAGTTTTATGCGTGTGTATGCACTGCGTGCTCCTACAGGACATAAAATGTAGTTCATGGTGTGGGCCATGGACAAAAAGCTTTGAAATCCACCCTCTTAGATGGCAATACATTATTTGTATTGTCATAATAAAAAGTATAGAACGTAATTTTAAATTAAATTGTGTTCAGTATTATAGGCATACATGTGTACATCCTATACAATAAAAGGCTAATATGCAAATTTCCCCCTCAACCAGGAGTTGGGCCGGGAATTGGACAAGGGGGCGGGGCCAGCCAGCAACTGCCCACAGCCTCTCCCCCGAGCCGGCCCCACCCCGACCACTCCGATTGGGGCAGGCCAGCTGGATCCCACCCATGCACAAATTGATGCACCAGGATTCTAGTATGTAATAAAATTGTATAAAACAGAAATATAACTATTTTGTTTATTTTTATAACTCCATCTGTTAATAGAAGGTAGTTTAAGAATTCAGCATCTGTATTTTAGCTAAAAATGTATGATATTTCATTTTTAGGTGTCTTTTAAGAAATACAGTCTTTGTGAAAATGTATTAGATTTCAGAACTTTGTTTTAGAATATCCAATGACTTGTGGAACCAAATGACTGAACATTAAAAGCCCTTAAGCAGCACACAAAAATGGCCTACCGTAGCCAATTTTACGTTTCCAATTTTTTCCCATAAAGGATGACTGGTGGTCACATGGGAAAGAACCTGAGCATCACTTCCAACCACCTTATGATATTAACAGCACCCAGAGGAGTGACTTTCAAAAACCAATGTGTCCTTTGGTTTTGCCGGTCAGGCACAGCAAGCTGCAAAAGCCTTCCTGTGGAATAGGTAAGGTCAGCAGTGGTAAAACTTCTTCTCGGTGATCTCAGGTTACTCCCATCTACTTAAGATGTATTAGATCTGCTGGACCTCCTGAGAAAACCTCTTCTCTACAGAAGGTGAACACAGATATGCCAGTGTAGCCCTTGACAAGTTTTTTTCCTTATCCCTTCCTCGTGGACAGCTTTATCTCCAAACACGTTTAATATGCCATCATAAAAATCGTACCGATTAGTAAACACTAGCCTCCAAGTCAGAAACAGTAGCATTCTTCTCTTTATTGCGCCAAACTTTAAAAATCGCAACTATTAAAATAGTAGGCAATACTTTATGGTCGCATTTCTCAAAGTGCAATCTGAAGGAGGCTAGTTTTGCGATGTTTATAGGTGCTCAAAAACAAACAAGCAAAAACCCCAGGGTGGCCAACACATGGGGACGGCCAATGTGTCTTTCGATAAAGGACTGGATAAAGAAAATGTGGTACATACATGCCATGGAATACTCCTCAGCCATAAGACGAAATACTGCCATTTGCGACAACATGGATGGACCTTGAGAATATTATGCTAAGCAAAATAAGTCAGTCAGAGAAAGCTAACAACCACATGATTTCACTCATATGTGGGATATCAAACTGAAACTCAGAGAAATAGAGGACAGCATGGTGATTACTAAAGGGAAGGGGATGAGTGGGTGGAAGAGCATAAAGGGGGCCAAATATATGGTGAAAGAAGATGATGTGTCTATGGGTGGTGGGCACACAATGCAATATACAGATCATGTGTTATAGTAATGTACATTTGAATCCTATATGACCCTATCACCAATGTCACCTCAATAAATTTAATTTAAAAAAACAACAGGGGAAGTGGTTAAATAAGTTCTGCAAAAACTGAATACACACACACACACACACACACACACACACACAGTGGGGCCTTGACTTACGAGTTTAAGTGACAGAACTCATAACTCAAATTACTCATAAGTCAAATCTTAAAGTGAACAAGTGAGACACGTGATGCTGGGCTGACGTTGTGGCGTTCACTGTGACATTCGCTGCGCCAACTAGCGGTGGGGTATCTGAAGCTGGCTCGTAACCCGAATTTTAGCTCGCAACTCAAAGCAAAAAATCGGCCGAGAGAAGGCTTGTTATCTCGAAAAACTCGTTAGTCGGGACACTCGTAAGTCAAGGCCCCACTGTATATATAATCTGTCTATAAATTCAGAACTCTTAAAACCCTTATTCTAAGCATAAACAAAGTTCTCAGGAGTAGTAATTTTTTAACCATGAAAAGAGGAATTGTATGACATGGACACTAGAAATTTGTTTTCAAGTGGTGCTGGGCATTGGACCCACTGAGAAAGAAATGTAGTCCTGCACAATATTTGGACCATAAATGAACAAAATTCAATTATATTTAAGTGTTGTTTAGCAAGTCTCAACTTTTAGCATCAATCTAGAAACACAATATGGAAAACTTAAATATTGAACAGAATTTAAATTTTATAGAACAGAATTATATTACCTGCCTTCACAAGAAAGGTAAATATACAGTTGACAGAAGATGAGGCATAGAAGAGAAGGGTGTAATATCATTATTTAACGTGAGCACTCAAGACATGCTACCCAAAGTAGATGAAACAAAGAACAGAAGAACAAGCTTAAAGTGAAGGGACCTAATATACGAACCAATTTTCTCTCCAGCCCTGGCCTCTTGACTGAACTTCAAGACTACATAGCCAACCACTTACTTGACATCTCTTCTTAGATAGCTAGCCTCCTTTTCAAATTTTGCGTGGCTGGAGTAGAACTTCTCATTTCTCCCATCCAAACCTATTCCTCCACCAGCCTTTCCCATCTCGATAAATGTCACTATGCCCCCAGATGCTCAAGTTTTGATGATCTAGAAGTCATTCTAAAACTCCCTACCCTCCACATCCAGTCCATCAGCAAACCTTGACATTTCAATTTTCAAAATATATCCCAAATCTTCTTGCCAAGGTAGTGCAGCCACTGCTTCCCCACCCCATCCTTTCTCCTCTATAATTTGTTATCCACACCATCGTCAGAAGGATTTTTTAAAAATATAAATGATATCACTCTCCTCCTTTAGGTCCTCCAGTTACTTCTTATTTGTCATGAGAAACAAAGTACCTACCACCATGCTTAGTACATAGCAGACAACAAATGGTAGCTATTTCTATTAATTATTTTACTGTACCAATTAGGTGTTGAACTGGAATCTAACTTTGGGAACCTGGCATAGACGTCTTCTTTTCTCCCTCCACTTGCCTTCCCTCCCTCCTCCTTCCCCTTCTGTCTCTCTCTCATTGGTATTTCTCATTGGCAAGACCATTATTGTACCCAAGTCCTAGCACAATGCCCAGAGTCAACCAATGTTTATTGATTAGTTTAATGAGAAATACATATCATCCAACAGATTATATAAAGTCATACTGTAATTTCAACTAACATACACACCAATACAGGCTTGTAATTTATTCATATTTTAGATGGTATCTGGATTCTAGATGAGCATGACTTTAAAATATTTTAATGTAACATTTTGAAGTACTTACATAAACTAGTCTGTATATGCCAGCTTATGCATGTGGACATGGAAAATGTGTATGTAAACATGCATTAATGCCAATTGTAAGTCATCTCCTAGTCATTCTGTTCCATCAGCCCACTTAATTACGCCTGGTCTTTGGCATTTCATCTTGTGCTGACAGTGAAAGTGCCCTTTATGCCTTGTACCACCACGCAATTTCCTGGCTGCCTTCCACAGCCAATTCAACACATGACTCTGCTCCATCATATCAGAGTCCCTGCAAGAATAAGTATTCACTTTTGGTTTTATGTAATAAATCTTTATAAATTGGAAAAGCTGATCTAGTTTGTGAGGGAGGTATTTCATATTTATATGATACTGTGGCTGTTTATCGACTACTTGCTATTTTAACATTCTTTTGAATTTCAAGCTCAGATACCGTGGTTAAAAATAATTTTCTAAACTAGGTTTTAGTTTGTGTTGCTGTTTTTGCACCAAGGAGTAACAATAACAATTGCTATAGTTATGTTCAAGTTTCTGTTTTTCAACTATATTTTGAAAATCTGTACTATTATTTTTACATTAATAATCTTTAAAAAAAATTTAAATATATTATTTATTTCAGAGAGGAAGGAAGAGGGAGAGAGAGAGAAAGATCCATGATGAGAGAGAATCATGGATCGGCTGCCTCCTGCAAGTCCCCCACTGGGGGGTCGAGCCCAACCTAGGCATGTGCCCTTGACCGGAATTGAACCTGGGACCTTTCAGTTCACAGGCTGACGCTCTATCCACTGAGTCAAACCAGCTAGGGCCATTAGTAATCTTTTTATATAAGATCAAAATAAATACTATTTAGAAGAATGGGATTTCTAATAGAAAAGTATCACTCATGTTTTTTAAGTAGACACAAGCAAAATGTTAGGAAAATTTGTCAAAGTAAAAGCTGCTAAGTTTCCTCCAATATGAGGAGTAAGTTGTATATTTGAATAAATCTTTGTGTGTGTGTGTGTTGTTGTTGTTTTTTTATAAAATATAGATGGCTAGCACCAACTTGCTTGTTGTATCCTTGTTTAGAAAATTCCCATTTTAGTCAGATTAAGTTTCTAAGAAACAGAGAGTGGATTTCAAACATTCTTCATAGACTTTGCCTTATTTCTTGCAAGCCTCATCTAACAAGGCTTCTTTTTAAAGTAATTAGTTTGGGTCTGATTTGAATTCTTATGTAGAGCAACCAACCAGTAAGAAATTGAATATCTTCTTTGATGTTTTCCCACTTAGATGTTCTTCACTGCAGAGAGCTTCTTTAAGAGACTCATATATTTGCATAAGTGAACATGGCAGTTATGCCTAATTCTGAAAGGCATAATGTCCGAGTAAGAAATTTCTCTCTATAATAGCTCAGGTTACCTTTCCTCTCCTTTTATTAGTCCCCATGAAGAAATTTTCTTGAGTTATTATTTTTGAAATTCTGAGAAGTTCTAGATCACTACATAAAAGGTGATTCATTAAATTTATTTGACTTCCTTCTGAAATATTCCTGTTATCTGCATAACAACGCACTCCAACATTTAGTTGCTTAAGAGAACAATCATTTTATTTGCTCCTGATTCTGCAATCTGGACTGGGCTCAGCTGGGCAGCTCTTTGGTTGGTCTTGCTGGTGGGTGCTTGTGTGGCTACCTTCAGTTGGCAGGTGGTCTGAGGATTGGTAAAACACTGGAATGATTGCTCCTCTCCATCTCCATGTGGTCTCTCCATTTAAGTTCTCCAGACGGGTGGCTGAACTTCACACATGGCAGCTCAGGACTCCCCCAAGTGCAAAAGCAGAAGCTGCAAGGCTTTCATGAGGTTTATACCTGGAACTGGCACCATGTTACTTCTGCCAAGTCCTATTGGTTAAATTTAATCACAAGGCCCGTTCATATTCACTAGGAGGGGACTGTTCAAAGATGTGAATACTGGGATGCCTGATTCATTGGGGCCACCTATGTAAGAGACTACTATAATGTCCTTTAATCGTTCTTTCTGTGAGAGTGTATAAGTGGCCAACTCTTCACCTAGCTTTGTCTGAAAATATCTTTAAGTTGCCCTCACTCTTTACTGAAGGAAATGATTTCCTATCCCTTTCAGTTTTCATGTTACAAATATTTCCTCCCATCCTACTATTTCTCTACTAGTGTTGTCCATAGTGTTATTCATTGAATAGGAATCCTACATTTTGATGTAATTAAATTTATCAGGTTTTCACCTATGGGCTGTGCATTGATTGTTTATGATAAGGTTTCCTACCCTTAAGTCACAAAAATTTTCTCCTTTATTTTCTTCTCTTGATTTTATAAGTTTACCTTCCATAATTATGTCTTTAATCCTAGATTCTACCTGTACGTGTAGTATAAAATAGGGGACCTATTCCATTTTTCTCCATGGAGTTTTCTGCATACCATCTACTAAACAATCTACACACCCCCATCACTGACTTGTGGGACCTCCTTCACTGTATGTTAGGTTTCACTGTAGAAATGGGCCTGTCTCTGAGCTCTGTTCTTTCGGTTAATTTTCAGTTGGTCAATACTGAAATGCTTTCATTACATGGATTTTTAGTTTGTCTTTATATCCGATAGGGAAAGTCCGAGTCTTTGCTCTTCCTTTTTCAGAGTTGACCAATTTATTTATGACCTTTATTTTTCTGTTTAAACTTTGGAACTCATGACATTCCTCAAAATATCCAGCAAGACTTGTATTCAGTGGTATTGACATTATAGATGAATTTAGGAAAAATGGTCACCTTTGCAGTAATATACTATCCCCTTCTATCTAAGTGTATGGAAAGTCTATTTCTACTTTTTTTGTTTAAGTTAAAAGTTTAAAAATTTTTCTTGATAGAGAGCTTCTGGATTCTTTGTTAATTTCTAATTCTTTGTTATTTTTTCTTCCTATAGAGAATGTATCTTATTTTTCATTTTATTTTCTAGTAGGTTACTGTTATTACAGCAAAATCCTTTTGATTTTTATACACTTACCTGCTTACTTTGCCACACCCTTATTCTCATAATTTATTGATTCTAGTGGCTTTTCTATTCAGGTAATTTTAGCACCTACAAATAATGAGTTTTTCTTTTCCTTGGCAATCATTATACTACTTTTTTTCTTTTTAAAATAATACTCACCAGATTCTCAATTACTATGTTAAACAGAAGAATTTTAGTTCTGAGTTGTTATGGTGAATATTATTTTTCTGTCTTTTAGTCTTTCTCTTTTTAAGGAAACAAAAAATTTAATTTTCTATATACCTTAGGCACCCTCCTTGACTTATTTCTATTGAGTTCTTCCTCTAGGAATTTTTCAAAGTAGGTCTATTTTAGGGGAAAACATTTTGAGGCCTTCTTTACCTCCCAATATTTTTTATTGTGGCTTTAGAGTTAAATAACAGTTTAGTTGGGTATAATAATTCCTTTTTTCCTTTAATATTTAAAAAATATTAAGTAAATTACCATTGTGTTCAATGTTGTTGTGCAATTTGATATAAATCTACTTCTTACTCCTTTGTTGGCAATCTACCTCTCCTCTTTAAAAGCATTTAGAATTTTTTTGTCTGAGATGGAAATATGTCTATAAATGTCTTAGATGTGAGTGTTTACTTATCTACCCTGCAGGATTGGGAGGAGAGTGAGGCAATAAGAAGCTGAGGGCGCAAAAATTTAAGGAGGCACTCACTCCCAGGATCACACAAGTGCTTCCTTAAATTTTGCATCCCATGGGACTGGCCTGTCTCACTTATTCCTGGCCTTGCTACTTGTGTGGTAATCTGTGAGCCCTTTCAATCTGAGGTCTTTGAACTTTAATTCTTAGATATTTATCATCATTATTTTTTTAAGTATTTCCTTCTATTTCCTCTTCCCAGTCTCCTGAATTTTAGTTTTGGTACTTCTACTGTCCATGTTTCTTAGCTTCTATTTTACATTTTTATTTCTTTAGGAATAAAGAGATAAAAATATATGCTGCCTTCTGGGAGAGCTTCTTCGTCTGATCATCTACTTCATGAATCTTGCTGTTGTTCTCATCTTTTTTATTTTAATCATTACATTTTTATTTCTAATATTTTGTGTGATTCATATCCATGGCCTCTAATTCTTGCTTCATCTTATAATACCATCTATAGTTTTGAGAATATTATGCTTAAATTCTTAGTGCATTGATTCTAGTAATGCTGCTTCAAATGATATATATATTAAATTTTGTTGTCTTTATTTAATAACATCTGTCCAGTTTATCTTAGGTCATGTTCCCTGAAGGGAATCAGCAACCCTGTGTAGACAAAGGCTAAAGACAAGGTCTGGCTAATGTGCCTCCCAGTGACTTTAAGGAAAGAAAATAAGGTGCAGGCTGGGAGCATCAGTCCCCACAAAACCATTTGGACCCTCTCCAGTTGTTGTCTGGACCAGTCCTCAAGTCGGGACTCCACTTCTTTCCCCTGTACACTCTTAGAAAGAGGCATCACTGAGAGAAGGCAATCTCTTGGTATTTTTAATCCCCCAGCATTGACGGTTGCTAGGGGAATGGTGGAGGAATGCCCAAAGGGGCAACATACATCTCCCTTTCTCTATCATCATCTTGTCCCTAGAGCAGTGGTTCTCAACCTTCTGGCCCTTTAAATAAAGTTCCTCATGTTGTGACCCAACCATAAAATTATTTTCGTTGCTACTTCATAACTGTAATGTTGCGACTGTTATGAATCGTAATGTAAACATCTGATATGCAGGATGGTCTTAGGCGACCCCTGTGAAAGGGTCGTTCGACCGCCAAAGGGGTCGCGACCCACAGGTTGAGAACCGCTGCCCTAGAGGGACTTCTGTGCTGTTTTGATGTTACTAAATTGACAATAGATGGCTAGACAGTTTCTGCCATTTTCTGCAGGCCCGGGGCAAGCAATAGTCTTCCCAAGGCAATGTGGGGGAAAGCCAAGAACAGATTTCAAAAGCTTTCCCCAACCTATTCTCTATTGGCTGCATCTGACCTCCTACCCTCCAGCAAGCTGCCATCAACCCTTCATAGCAGTTCACTGAAGTCTTACAGTTTTTTGGTAGTTCATCAGATTCATGCTTCTTTTTCCTTCCATGGCTTCCCCCTTTGTCAGGATACCAAAGAGCTGGCCCCTGCCTAACTTTGAAGACCCTCTCTATTTTGACCCCAGCATCCTAGAGATTTTGTCTTTAATCCTCACAAATCTGAAAGCAAATTATTATCCCAGTTTTTAGAGAGGAATGCGTCTCAATGAAATTAAGTGATTTTCTTCAAAATCTCACAGCTGGGAAATGTGATAGAGCTAAGTGTGAAAACATGTCTATCTTATCCCAAAGGCCATGCTTTGGATACTTCATTAACCCCTTCTGATTAAGGCCTAAATTTAGAGCTGCTTTATTTAATTCAAAAAGTTATCAAACTGCCCTGACCGGTTTGGCTCAGTGGATAGAGCATCAACCTGCGGACTGAAAGGTCCCAGGTTCGATTCTGGTCAAGGGCATGTACCTTGGTTGCGGGCACATCCCCAGTAGGAGGTGTGCAGGAGGCAGCTGATTGATGTTTCTCTCTCATCGATGTTTCTAACTCTCTATCCCTCTCCCTTCCTCTCTGTGAAAAACCAATAAAATATATTTTTTAAAAAAATTTTAAAAAATGTTATCAAATTGTGTTTCTGCGTGCTGGACAAAGGCACGCATCCCCAAACTAGTAATCTTTTCCCAATTGGTAGCAAAAAAATATGTTATGGTTAGAATTTTTTCAATGTCATATTTGTCCACAAATTTTAGTAAATCTTTGGCACCTGCTGTTCTTTTATGTGCTAGCAAATCCTAAATGTAAGGTAATGATTAAGTAGAAAATGAGTTGTGAATATCTGACCTCAGTTAAAAATCAAGAAAATATTATCAGTTAGCACTGTTCACCTACTGAGAAAAGATAGCCATTTCATATCATGTAATATATATTTGAACTCTCATTTTTGTTGGTAACATTAGTTTATATCAGTGTCTGAATATTGAATTGAATTCACGAATGTTTAGTAAATGTGAATTTACTAACATATTTTTCCTTCCTGTATATCCTCCCTAATTTTAAAGGCATATTTAAAGAAAGAAAGAAAAAAGAGAAGGAACTCTTGGACACAAACAACACTGTAGTGTTTGCAGGGAGTAGGGGAGGTGGGCAGAAGTAGAGGAGGTTATGGGGGACCAATAGTGATGGAAAAAATAAAGAAAAATATTTTAAGTTTATATTTAACAGCTAATACACTCATACAGTACACAATTCAAATGGTAAAACAGAATATACAGTGAAAGTGAATCTACTGCTCGCCACCTCTATCGTCCAGCCAGGTAATTCTCTCTCCATACAAAAACCCTGTTTTCAGTCTTCTGTTATCATTTCATAGATATGGTAGGTATACATAAGGTCTTATGTACATATTTTTTTATAAAAGAAAGAATTTTTTAAATTTTGCAGCTTGACTGAATTTTATGTCACTAAATTGGGAAGTACCCTTACTCCTTACATAACCTTGTATGCTAAAAATAAAGTGAGTTTCAAAAATTATTTAAAGTATTAAACTTAGGGTAGAGAGACCAATGTAAAGTCCCTTATATGCCTATCACCCAGATTGAAAGATTATTTTCAAGTCAGGGTTTAATACTCTGGCAAATTTGCAGAGCTTCTGTCAATGGGAAATTTAAAAAATTATGTTTTCAACTACAACTGCAGCAGCCCCAGGGTCTTCCAGTTCATTCCGTTGGTGCTAGCTGGGAGCAACTTAGGCATAAATTTCTCAGAGCCTTTCTAGGAGCAAAAATAAGTTGAAAAACATATTGTACGTATTCTTTTCCCAAACTTTGGTTGGTATCTGTGCAAGTAACGTATTTAACAGATTTCTAATGTCATTATTGCATTAATAGTTTTTTAAATTACAAGTAATTTCACATGTGGGGCTAATCTGATGGCTTTGATTTGGTTCCTTTCATAGCGAAAGAATGCTGAATCATATTTATTATGTAGATGTGTGTGGCAACCTTCCACACTTAGGAGAACTTGGTTTCATTAGCATTTTTATAAAGCATGAATATTATGAATGCTGATTTTATATCCATCCACAAATCTAATTTTTGCCCTGACTTCACAAATCTCTTTTCCCCCCTTAGTTCCACTTGCCTCTCCCAATGCATCCACAGAACTTCAAAGGAATTTTATAGAACGTATCTCCTTTATACATCAATATGATTCCAGGAAAATTCCCAGTGAGCCCATGAGGTGTAAGGTGAGACAGGATTTAGAATCAATTATTTAATACTTTAGGATGCGATATATTTATGATAGAACCTTAAGCCTTTTTAAGTCATAGTCATCTTTCTCAAAGTCGATTTAAGTAAGTTAACAGGGTTATTATAAAATCTCCACCACGTCATAGTTAGAACTAAACAATGACATCATAATTTTGGATCACAGTGTTTAGAATTTGGTTTAAATTATTAAAATCATTCACTTAAGTTAATAGCAAAGCAGTTTGATAAACTTTTTGATATGCTTTTACATATGTGTTGCAGTGGGATGCATGTAAGGTTTACAAAGTCAAACAAATATAATAATAGTCAATTGCTGGATTTTTTTCCAACTACAAATGTTTGTTTTCATACTTCACTATAACTAAGTCTTTTGTGGTAACCAATAGACATTTGGCATACAATCATAAATCCTCACGTCTATGAACTGTAGTTTCTACTGTATCCATAGCAACCTATAGAGCAAGAAATAAAATTTGATATGAATCGTCTTATACAATCCCAGGGATAGGAGTTGAGAATGGCAGATAATGAGGTGCTGCTTCTCTGACTCTCTACTTTTCCCTTCTCTTCATTTCCTGGTGCACCTATTTCATAATTTGTTTAAAAGTTCACCAATAAGTTTGGGATGAAGGTGACAGCCAATGAAGAAACAGAGATAGAAGAAAAAAAAAGCAGCAGAGATATAAGTGCCTGAATCACCAGGACTTGACTTAACACATGAATTCAGTTCATAGTCCCAGCAACTTGTGTTCCCTGGTTAATGTCAACTTTGTTTTCCTTTCCAGCGGCATGGAGTTTTTATGCAGATAGAGATAAAACCAGGGAGGAGGCCAAGAGCTCCTCAGGGAACAGAGGCATTACTGAACGCTCCAGGGTCATGCTCATCAGAACAGCCCAAAAAAACAGAGAAAGGAAACTCAGCAGAGAGCAAAATGACCTCACCGGGTGTCGGCCAACAAACGTCCCCAGAGCTGTTAGAGACTAAAGCCCACTTATCAGAAACAGACGTGAGGGAGGCGGCCACGGCCACGGCCGGCCCCACGAGTCCTGTGAGGGGGGAGTCTGCTGACGGCGCTCCAACGACTGCAGCGGATGCTCTGATCACCAGGCACAATCCTTCAACTCCGCCAATAAAAAGTCAGGATAAAGTACTTTCTCCAGATAAAGACATAACCCTTGGAACGTAGAGAAATTTCAGAATCATCATATAGGCTCTTGCATTTGCCTTTTCTCTTACCAATAACCTCAAAACACACAATTTACATAACTGAGAGAATTTTTAAAAAGACAATTACAATATACCAAAATTCTAAGAGTGGTCTTAAGAATTTTTATTCTCTAGCCTTTTCTATCATTTCCACCCCCCTCCATTCTCTCTCTCTGTTCCTTCTGGGACAGCTACTCGCTGAATGATGGAATACTTGGATTTATCTTCTATGCCTCTTTTACTTTCCTCTCATTATCCTTCTCATGGTACTTTACCACGAAACGATGCAAGAGCCCCTTGACACTCACTTTCTATTAATTTGCTTTTCAGCCTTGTCCATTATTATGCTGGGCCACCTATTGAAGTTTATAAAAATTTTAGTATTATATTTAAATATTTAGTATTATATATGCATGCTTTCTAAACACACAAGACTCTTCCTACAGTATAGGTAGGACAGCCTCTCTCATCCCTTTAGAATAATACTATAGTCTTTAGTGCAATGCCTCACTCTCTTGGTATTGTACTTTTTCCTTACACGCTTGGTGCTTCTTGGTTGGATACCCTGCTTTGAGGATGAGATTTCCAGATCCTTATCAGCAGAAGCTGTTTCTGTCCATCACAGCCTGGCTTTGGGACAGGGCTGGGATATGCCGGCAGACAGGCTCTGAGGAGGATCTGTCTGAGAGGCTCTCTGATCCTTCTGGGGGTCAGGAGCTGCTCAGGCACTGCCTTGCTTTTCCAGACCCAGTGTCTGATTTGATCCAGACCACAGCTGCCCATTGCTTAGCACCGCAGACCGGGGAAGGGGAAACTGAGGTGCTGCTCCACATGCGGTTCCCCAATTTCCCAAACTGATCAGTGTCCCAGGGTCCCTTCTCCTTCCTGATATCCACCGACTCTCAGCAGAGCTCTGTAAGACCTACCTCCACAGCCGTCATCGCCACACAGGTGACACGTGTCAGATTTCGTTACATTTCGTTTTGTTCCTCCACACATTTGTTCTCTGGTAATAGCTTTTTAAATTTATTAAAATGTGTTTATTCTGATAGTCAGTTTCCCTGTTTTTCAATGCTATTAAACTCTATTTTATTCTCTATATCTATCTATATGTATTTTTATAAGCAGATGTGTATATCTATCTGCCATTTTGAGTCAATTTCTAATTTCCTTTTAAGTAAATCATTTGAAAACTACATACTTAAATATTAGTAAATAAATTCTCTGCAATAAAGCCTCACAGTTGGCTGACAAACATCACTGAGAATTGACACAGTCTTTTTTTTTTTTTTTAGAGAGAGAGAGAATGGAAGGGAGGGGTGGAAGGGGGAGAGAGAGAAAGAGATAGAAGCATCAATGTGAGAGAGAGAGATCAACTGGATGTCTCCTGCACATACCCCGACCAGGCCCGGAGATCAAAACCTGCAACACAGGTACGTGCCCTTGACCGGGAATCAAACACATGACCCTTTGGTCCTCAGGCTGATGCTCTAACCATTGAGAAAACTGGCCAGGGTAACACATTCCTCTTTCTTAGAGAATATGTTTTAGTAAGAAAGAGAGGAATAGCCTAGTTAGTGGACCACTACCATAGGCTAGGTTGATGGTTCTCAACATTTTCAAATAAGAGGACAGACATCTTTTCTGCATTAGAAAAATATTTATGGTCTTTCACAAAACAGTAATAGAACTTTCAGTATCCATAGTTTGAGAAAACACATAATAACAAAATGCAATGATGATTTCCAGGTTCAAGTCTCTTTTTCACCTGATAAGGGTGTGTCTCTCCACGATGAATTTCATAGCCTATTAAAGTTATAACAGCCTGTCAGTACAGACAGTACTCTTAAATTTCACAAGAAAAATGTTTTCCAAGTAATTCCCTTATTAGGTATTTTAGTAGAATAAAAAGCCCTTACCAAGATACAGGATTTTTTTTTCAGCTTATCAAACCAAACATAAAACATGAACTTTCATATATTTTAATATTTTAAGACTACCTTAATGAATGTGCTAATAATATTGCTATTACTAATACCATACGTTTGTATGTTTTAAGCTTGAAAGCATTTTCAAATCCATTATCTCATGTGATCCATATAATAATGCTATGAGCAGAGCAAATAATAATATCCCAATTTTATGGTTAATTATAGGCTCAGAGACCTTCAGTGGTTTCCCCATGTTTGCAGTTAGCAAGCAATAGAGCGAGAACCAGAACCTTGGTTTCTCAATGCCCAGTCCATCTATTTCCAAATGCCAACCAACAGGACAAATGAAAACAACAACAACACAAAACAAAACACAAAAGGCCCATGTAAGAAGCATCAAGAAAAAAATTTCAATGCTTTTATTGAGAGATGATAATTTTACTGCTTTGGGGGATTTAAGATACTCTTTGTTAGACTTCTTTTTTATAATGAACTAAGTTGATTTGGGAAGCACCCGTCATTTATAGCACAGATAAGTGTCCATTAAAACGTAACAAAAACATTTGAAATGTACAACTGAGCATTGAAACAAGAAATTGAAATCCTTGGGAGCCAGAAAGAGAACACGACAGTGGCGAGCAAGAGGTGAGGCTCAATAGGCAACTGAAGAAGTGGAATCAGAAGTGGAACTCAGTGGCAGGAAATATAATAGCTGAGCTGGAAGGGGGACTTGAGGGCCCATGTGCCATGGAGCTTGAGCTAAGCATTGAGCCAGGATTAGCTAGAAGAACTCTCCTGCTGTGAAAAGGACTCTAGGTACCTCCTCCCATTAGCCTGAGAATTAGGGGAGGAAGTGGACTGATTACCACGCAGATGACACGGGGTGGGAATCAAATGTACCTTCATGAGCAGGGCCAGTTCCCAAACCAAGGAAGCAACAAAAACTGGTTTGAACCAGGGAAACCTAAAGGACCATGTAGAGATAAATATGAAGCTGCCCCATCCTAACACTTTAAAACCCTGGATACATGAGCCACCATGGAAAGAAATACCCATGATGAGATGGGTATATCTGTAAGAAGGAAAACTTTTAGGGAAGGGAATTAGCAGAATTCATGCCCCAACAGTTACAGACAATAGAGCATAATTATAGATAATTATGCATAAAATGATTCAAGACATAAAAGAATAAAAACTACGTAGAAAAGCCAGAATACCATACAAATAACCATTTTGGTGGGTGGGGGAGGGGAGGTTATAGAAATTCTAGAGATAAAAAATGTCATTTTAAAAATACTTAAGTCAGACAGTAGCTTAAGAAAAAAAACACACACATCAGTAAACTGGAAGATAGAGCTGAAGAAATCTCACAGACTACAACAGAAAAAGATAAAAAGAAATCTAAAAAGAAGAGACACAAACAATAGCCTTTTATTAAGAGTTCCAGAGGATATAATAGAAGGAATATGAGGGGGAGAACTTTGAAATAAAAATAGCTCTAATAGAGATTACTACTGGTTGCCAATAACAAATCTCCCCCTCTACCTTATTAATAGAATCACCCCTTTTAAACTGGGAATTGGCTGCCCAAATGAAAACAACATTTCCTGGTTCCCTTGTAGCAGGCTTGGCCAAACGAGTATGTTATGGGATATAACTAGAGCCGCATGTGCAACTTCCAGGAATGCCCTTACAGGGAAGAGGAAGGCCCTTCTCTGTACTTTCCCTTTCCTAGTAGCTGGAATAGAGATATTATCATTTGAGTGGAGACTCTCCTTGCTGGGAGTGGTAGAACAATAAGAACAGTCCCTGAGTCCCTGATGTCATTAAATGCCACCTGGATTGCCTAATTTATGTGAGAAAGAAAGAAAGAAACTCCTATCTTGTAGAAACCACTCTGGTTTAGAGAGTTTTTTTTTAAATCACTTGCAGTAGAACCTAATCATAAAGCACACAATGATTGAAGTTTGAAAAATGAAATTAAGCCCTGACCAGTTTGGCTCAGTGGATAGAGCGTTGGCCTGCGGACTGAAGGGTCCCAGGTTCGATTCCGGTCAAGGTCATGTACCTTGGTTGTGGGCATATCCCCGGTAGGGGGTGTGCAGGAGGCGGCTGATCAATGTTTCTCTCTCATCGATATTTCTAACTCTCTATCCCTCTCTCTTCCTCTCTGTAAAAAATCAATAAAATATATTTTAAAAAAGAAAGAAAAAAAAAGAAAAATGAAATTAAATTCACACATGGACACTCAAGAGTAAAGCCACAGCTCATCAAATGTAAAGAGAAAAACCTTAAAAGCAAATCAGAGAGGAGATTCTGACTTAGAAAGGAAAGTCAATCGTAATGGGAGCAGGCTTCTAAACAGTAGATGCAAGAAGACAGTGGAGTAATATCTTGAAAATGCTGAAGGCAAAAATGGTCAACACAGAATTTCATGCTTAACTGAGCTATCATTCAAGAATGAGAACAAAATATGAACATTTTTTCAGACATACAAAGATTAACAATAACAGCAAGTGCTTATATAACACAATTTTACAAGGCACTGTTCTAAGTGCTTTGTGCATTTTAACTCATGGTTTTAACCTCCACAACAACCCTCTGAGATAGATACTATTAAATTGCCATATTAAATATTATGAAACTAAGATACAGGGAGGTTAAGGAACTTGCCAATGGCCACACAGCTAGTAAATGGCCAAACTGAGATTCAAGCACAAGTATTTTGCTCCAGATTCTGTGATTTTCATTATTATGCTACTCTGTCTCCATGACTAAGAGAGTTAGTCACTCACAAACCTTTGAAATAACCGCTAAAAGATGACATATAAAAGGTCAATATTGGACCTGAACAGAAACTGTAGGATGTAAGCAGAAAACAAGACAAATCAGCAAGTCACATTGATTAAATTAAGTATTAAACTAAAAAAATGTTCTTTTGTGAAATGATTCTGACTTTAGATTTCAGGGCATTTTTTCCTTGTAGTGCATTTATTTGGCAAAAGAAACATTTGACAACTCTATGTCAGTTTCAAAAAATTTTTCATAAGTTTCCTTATCCATGAAGTCACAAAATCTGAAAACTATTGGTTCAATCTACTATGCAACAAAAGTTGTTTGTGTTTGTTTTTTGAAAGAGCAAATTTGCAAGGCTGATAGCTAATGTGTCAAAAAAAATACATATATTGGTAATAGGATATTTTGTTGGATATTTATAGTCATGATGTAAGGATAGGTTGCATGTAATCATTAGTGAGAATCACTGTTCTTCCAGAAACATGGCCCCAGCAAAGGGCATACTATAAATCAAAATGTTAAAAAAAGGAGAAAAAAGCCTTTCCACCACATAAATTCATTGCTAATGTATTAAGACTTCTGGAGAGAATGCCTTGGGTTGATAAATTATATCAAGATGATCTACAATATTTCAGCCAGGAAGGTAGAGAGCCAAGTGCTGCTACATGCCCACCAAAGTCAAAGATGGATAACCACACCGAACAGACTGAATTTCTTCAATATAAAATTTTCTTCAAATGATGCTGTAAACTGTCTTTTTTCATTCTGTAGATTGAGGATGCCTAATGTTTACTCCTAAGTAACCTTCTAGGTCACATGATTTCCTCATTCTCTAGTCAACTTTGCACTAGAAAGAGACACCCAAAAATGTTCCCCAGGGTTCTTAGCTCTTTGTTTCACAATCATAAGCAAATGGTTTGAAGAAATGTATGACCTAATGCAATTTTCATCGCCAGAATCTTAATTGTAGCTCTCACAGAAATTAAATCTTTGGTTAAGTTCTATAAAAAACAATTTCATTTTTAAGGTGCTTTTGTTTGCTTGCTTTTGGTTGTTTCTTTATAGCAGCAGCAGCTTATGGGTTTTTTTTGATGTGGTTGGAGTTGGACAAGAAGGTTTTTTTAAGAGTCGGCCTATAGTCAAAATTCTGTCCGCCAGGTGTGGCTCAGTGGTTGAGTG